TATATACGGGCCTTGATAATTGGAATAGGGTTTTGAAATTAGGGGCCTTAAAACTTAGAATAGGGTGTCGCAATCCATTCTACTATAAATATAATAAGGAACCTCTCAAGATAGTATTGGCAATAATTTAGGCCCCTATATTGCATCTCAGGTGCAGCGGTTGCTCTCTTCTTCGCGGTGTACTGCCAGCAGGTTCCGGCAGACCACTTCTACTGGGCTTATGGGTTGCATGCACATGAAATGTATGCTGGTGTCACCAAGAGCATCAAGGACCCTAAACCTTAAACCCCAAACGATCGGCTATTTGGGCCTTATCCCTAACCCACAGCCCTATAGGGCCTTCCCCCTGACCCGCATCATAAGCTTGATGACTTGCCACTTTGTCTACTGGGAAGCTTAGCCAGAAGCCCTCAAAGTATATAGTTTGGCCCTGCCGTACAGTATATGCTCTTAGGCTGAATGGACCCTTGCATCCTAAGCCCTAAAGCCTTATAGAACCAACGTCTCCTGAAATCGCATGTAAGCAGAGACTAGGGTTTAGGGTAAGTGAAGCTAGGGGCCTTTGTAAGCAGAATGGGCTTGAGCCTAAACAAAGGTGTTTATAAGGGGTTTTCGAGAAGTCTTCTATGAGGGTTCTAGAGGTGTTGAGGGATTTAGGGACAGAGCTGCAAGAGTAGGGTTTGGGGGTTATTTTGGCAGGGATCTTGCTGGTTTTAAAATTAAGAAATCGCGACCAAAGGTTCGGGATGGTTGTCCAAACTATGACCTCTTTGGGGTTCCCAAACTTTAGGGTGCCGTATTCCGCATAGAATTATTAGGGTTCCCCTAAAGTACATTGGGATTCCCCAAAGAGACCATGATGTTGGCGGCTACCCATTTCCAAGTCTTTACATCGAGGTCTTCAAAGTGCCCAGCAGCCATAACCAACTCACCTACCTTTAGGGTTTAGGGTTTAGGGATTAGGGTTTAGGGTCCTCATGATGGTATCCGCGAGCCCAAATCTTAACCCTGCATCCTCAAACCTCAAGCTATACATTATAGGGACTTTAATTTTTCAGCCCGAAGTCAGAGACACTAGTATGTGCAGGCAATACGAGGAGACTGTTGCCAATTTATGGAAGCACATAGGTTATCTCTGTCGTGAGCATCTTGTAGGACGACCTCTTCGGGTCTTTGCCTCGGGTTGTAACCCTAAGGGTCCAAGTACCTAATAATCATATACTCTCCCAAATATTAAGCTAGAATACTACTATCCGTAACCAAAGTACCCGATTNNCCTTTGGACCCTTAGGGTAAGGGCTGTGAGTGGAGGACGGCACGGGCCGGTTGACGGAGACGCACCTGGCAGCAAATGGGAGGGAGGGGTTTTCAGTCCATAGAAGTCCCTAAGGGTCCACCTAACGGTCGATGTACCCAAATAGTATCGGGTTTAGGGTTTAGGGTTTGGGTCCATGTACCCAAATAGTATATACTTTGGCCTTAAAGTAGTCCCTATATAGGTGCTTTGGGGCCAATGTATATACTATATGAGTACATGGACCCTTAGGGAGTGCGAATGACCAGACATGATATCTCCGTATGGTCCTTGTAGAACCATGCTACACTATACCTTGAAACACTGTTCATTGTTCATGTGGCGAAACGGACCGGCACAAGACACATCCTTGTTCCGTTCTTCCTAGACTATACTGCAGCCCCACAGTCTGAACACTCCGAAATCTCCAACGGCGATCTCCCTCCTAGTCTTGTTTTTCTGTTCCGGAGGTGTCGCTGCGACTTTGTTGGCCGGTCATGCAAGAACCGTAAACCCTAAACCCTAAACCGAAGCCGGGTGCAGGGGCTTAGGGTTTATTGCTTAGGGCTCGCCTCCAACAGTGGCGTAGGTCTCCCGCGTAACGATATGGTGGGTTTCAGAAGATAGGGGACCCTAAGACAGTACCCCTAAATAGTAGGATCCTTATGATAAGGACCCCCAAAATAAGGTACCCCTTATTTTCGGAAAGTCCCATATCTGTTGCAGGAGTCCTGTGGAAGTCTCTTCTCTTGCGAATCCTGTGCTGCGTTGCAAATAGGACCGCAGGGAGAGTGGCAAGTTCCGTCAGGAGCAAGGAAGCCTCTTCACGTAAGTCTAGAATGCAGGATTTATATCATTAACAGTAGTATAGCCATACTACTGTTGATGATATACATCTGCATTTAAATAGTTATTCATACCATCCCCTTCGGGTGCCTGGCTATGTCTATACTTATACATTTATGACTTGTCACCTCTTATCGTTAAGACTATACTATCCTGAAGCTCCTGTTGCATGCCACATCCCTCAACTTCAGCAGCCCCCAAAAGACCTCTAAGATCTTACATCCTACACCCTGGTGATATCCCTGAACACGTGCATCCCTAAACCCTAAACCCCAAAACCCTAAAGCCCTAAACCCAAAACCCTAAACCCTAAACCCCTAAACCCTAAACCCTAAACCCTAAACCCTAAACCATAAACCATAAACCCTAAAGCC